AAATAATACTTTTATTTTCTTTTATTTTCATTATTTTTTGGTTTCCATGTGAAAGGGACTAAAGCATTAGACTGTATACTTTCCAACAGTTTGTCCACCACATATTGTAAATAATACAAAAATGACCATTTCTAACAGGAAAAAGCGGAGAAAAAGGAAATAAAAAATCTGAAGAGTATAGGAGATATTAAGTTGGATTGTTCTAAAATAAAACATCAAGTTTCATGACAAAACATAGCCTTCATCAAATAAATCATCCAATTATAGGATGTACACAGGAGGAAATCCCAATAACTGTTTACCATTTCCTTAACAAATTTGCTCCGCATTTGATGGGGCTTGCCACAACCACAACCTCTTTTTCAACCTAGAATAGCTTGGCAACACTGCTGTCATGAAAGAGCTTTAGCCTTGTGACTTCTCCAATAATGCAACACCCAGTCCATGGAAAGAAAAAGTATCATATATTATTCATACCACAACAGGATCCCATGTGTTCCAATTCACTGAGCTCCATAATCAAAGATTAGTATGGTGTCTGCATTGGTATGGAGGCCAATGACCACAAAAACAAACCAAAGTAAACACAAAGGAACATACAAGTGAAAATCCCACACCCATGGCATATGGTGACATGGTAGAGATGGTGTTGGCCAAAGTTTAGAAGTAATTGATGACTTTTCTTAAACAGCAAATCACTCCATTTCAAAGTCTATCTATATATATATATAAGAAAAAGAAAAATGGTACATTTGGGCAGAAGAGGGGAAGGGGAAATCCATCTTTCAAAACCCGTCTGGGAAGGGAAAGAGAGAGTACTGTACCAAAGGCTCATTGTGCAGCAAAAGAGAGACTATGGGGGTTGATGGAGCCCACATGTAAAGGACCCCCCACCAAGAGACCTGGCTCAGGGGTTACCACAACAACCCAGCCTGGTGAGAAGAGGACAAGAGAGCTATTTTCCAGAAGACCAATTATGGGCAGCATTGGCATTACTCAACCACCTCCACCACCACACCACCACAGTATTCCTGTGCTCACTCTCTCCTCTCCCTCTCTCACTCCACACCCTGCCTGTCCAGTATGAGCGGCTCCACCCTACAGCCCCTTCCCCCATTCCCAAGTGCCATCAAAGCAATAGTTGCAAGTCATGCCCCATCTACAGGTGATATATCTCTGCTTTTATTGTATTGATGGATGTGAGTTCCAAGTGGTGCTTTTTGTGGAGGTGGAAATCGGTTGCATGGAGGGCCTTCCTTCCTTCCTACTTGGGTGGCCTTTGCATTTGTTCCTTTTGACCCGATTGGAGGCTTTTATATTGTAGTTTGCAATTGATTTCATTGGTGTTCACCTTGTCCATTGCAAATGAATTACCCAATCAATTAATTTTGAGTGGGTGTAATGCACGTTTGTTTTTGGTGCATGCTGTGTGGATTGCATTGAACTGCATTTGGATTGCAATGCTTTGCTAGAAAACAATGCTGTGTAATTAAATGATAAGGTGCTTTATATTCAGTGGAGAATGTGAGAGGCCACAAGGTTTAAAACATTTGATTGGTTGATTGGTCAACCACCTAAAGAATTTAGAACTTGCAGCCACTCACCTTTCTCCCCCCCCCCCAAAGTGTCAAGATCTCTTCAACAAAAAATGCACTACACATCATCAATAAAGGCATTGAACTCTTAAGGTCTCAAAAATGTTTCAAAAGATGGTTATGCTTAAATAATTTATGAAAAACATGGGCATAAGGTTGTCCAAGACAAATTAATTATAAAATCTAAATGAATAAACTCACATGAAAAAGAATTAATGGGGATCAAAAGCTGTTGTTACAATTGCAAAATTCCTCATCTTCTATAATCTTTCAACTCTAGGTGTTTCCAATATTTTCTCAAATGATGTTATTTGAATAAGCATAACATGCTTTAATTTGTTTTTTGAAACAAGACCACTTGCAATAAAATAGTAGCAAACACACCCAAAACTTAACGTAATTTAAATTGTAATAAATAAATATAATGTGAGTTTAATAAATAATAATAATGATATTATGGTAATAAAAATAAAAAAAATAAAACTCTTTTTGGAAATTAGATGCAAATATCTATTTGCAGTGATTAGTGATTATGCAATTTAGTACATGGTTAAATTTTCAGAATCTTTTACACAAGTGTAGGAGAACTCAGAATAAAATAAAGTCCCTATTAATCTCTAATCAACCTGGATTATTTATATACATAAATAAATAAATATATATATATATATATATATATATATGTTTGTATATTATCAAAACTGTATGGAATATGAAACAACATAGTTTAACACTCTCAACAGAATACATGATAACAAAGTATGATATTGTGACATGTTCAAGTGTTATTTCCTCTACATCTTATATTAATCTGCTTACAACAAACCAATGATCAGGTCAGTACAAATATATTTCACATTTGTACTGCAAAAATGTGAAGAACACAGTACAATATCAGGAAAAAGTATATTTCTTTTTTCCAAGCATAAATGACTGAATATAAGCACATAGAAAATTTCAACATACAAATGAATTACAATTTGAGGAACAATAAGTTAATAGTTTTCCTTAGAAATTGTCAACAGAACAAGCACACACTCACTCACACACACATTCCATGAGTCCATTGACAGGCATGCATTTTCAAACTAGTGCTGGGACACACATAGCAGCATTGGGACCAGCTCCCTCCTGTCTCTCATGACTGTGTAGTAGAATTCAGAGCCACCAAACCTAATTTCAAGCCAGTTGAAAAGGCCTTATTGGGGTGCTTTGCTTTGTTCAGGTCTGGGCATTGACTTGAGAAGAATAGTGGGTCTTGCCAAAGTCAACTCCTCAATGCTAATCTCCTCTTCTCTCAATGCTGCATCCAAATGGCTGAAGACTCCCCTGGATTACAGCTCCCTTTCAGCCATACCCCAAGGGGATTGGAGCTCTGCTATATATATATATATATAAATTAATATATGTGTGTGTGTATATGTATGTTTGTATGAATCAGTAAATGACCATAATCAAACAATCTCCTGAATAATGTCTCCCCATCAAATTAGCTGGTCTGGAAATAGCTTCTGAGCATGACATTCTGTAGCCCCCCCCCCTCCTCTTGATGTCTATAAATCTATACTTATTTAGGAAAGACTCTTGGTTTAGAGAAAGTAACATTAAATTATTATCTTACAAAAACCAACTTTGCATTTGATGAAGTTTTTACATAGATGTATAATTTTCCAGAAATGGAAGCCCAACTTAGAGCCATAGCACAGAGATCAAAAAAATATTTCAGAAACTATTTAAGGAGGTGGGGCATTGGGAGTGAAGTATAAACATGGGGTGTTGTGGTGTAGCCATTAACCTCTCATCCTGGATGGAAGACAAGTTATATATATATATATATATATATATTTAATGAATAATTGTTGCCTACTTTCCACACAATGTGGAACATTAGCTTTTGTGTGCTTGAGTTTGAATCTTTGTTTACTTGTTTTATGTTTATTTACCCATTAAGTGTGCAACACATGTGTGCGTCTAAAATTGGAGTATTCCACAATGATTTAAGTCAATCATTCCTCATAGTATGTGTGCTCTATTTTGGGGTTGTGTTTTTTCTACCATTTGAACTAGGGTTTTTTGAGTATAGGCATGGATTTGGCCCACAATATTACTTTGAATTGTCTTTCTTCTAACAAATCTATCTTATTGTTCACAATGAGAAGCTCACAAGGTGTTACAATGTTACTTAGCCATTCCATCAAACATGTTCACTGTGGATCAACATAATGACTATAATGGAGAATGTTATGTAACTAAAACACTATTTCAAATCACAATAGTTTTAATACACCTAATTCATATTGTGCATACATATATGCATGCACCCAAATGTTCACAATGCAATTAATATACATTCCCAAAATAGCTGAGATTTTTACAGACATTTTAGTGTGATATTTAATATGTGAGAAAAAATGGGATATCATAGAATGTCTTTGCTCATCCCACACCCATACATTAAAATTTTCATACTTTGTAATTTTAGAACTATGTTTTTTTGTTTTTTTTTTAAATAAAAATTTCCCTAAAATTTTGCCAGGTGGCATAATTTTTAAAACCACCAAACAAATTGAAAGTATTGTGTAGATGGGAATTACCAGTTCTGTTCAAGCAAGGGCCAGTGTCTCTGTGCAACAGTTCTGCCTGGAATTTCCTTTGGACATCTCATAGTGGAAACCATAGTGGTTAAAAGCATCTGCATAAAAATAGAGGGAAGGACAGGGAACGAGAGATAGAAAGATGATGGGGGCCAATATCTCACACCGCTTTTGTTATAAGATAGGTTAAAATAAAATTTAACTTCCATTGTTTCCCATGTGATTCCGGTGCATTTGGTTGCTTTCCAGACGTAATAGAATATTCCGACAAAATACCATTTTTTTTTCATGAGGGCCATGGCTCTCTTCTGATTATGGAACAGAAAAATCATTCTCTAAAAAGAACCACTAGATTGCTGGAATTCTAGATACTCTGCATATGGAAAATGGAGCTGAAAAATCGATGTAACAATTCCCATATGATGCTACAGTAACGATTTCAAACAAAACAATAGGATAAAAATAAATTAAAAAATAATCATACGAAAGTAGAAAGCTGCGTCCCCAACAAACGGAATTCAAAAAAGAGAGAATAATGGGAAAAGTAGAGGTGGAAAAAGCCCCAGACCCAGACGAGAGTCCAGCTCAGCCAAATATAGCCCAAAAGGAGAGACGAAGATCCGACGTGGCAGCCACGAGATGCTCCAACATGGCAGACAATAGCGCGATTCCCCCATTTGCTCCTGGATGTGCGACGGATGGATGAATTTCGATGTCAGACATAAGCACCGGGTTTCCGTGGATGAGATCTGGGGTTTTCCGCGGCGGTAGGGTCAGGGCTCTAAGGCTGGGCAGTGGCGAGCTTGTGCTAAGAGGCAGGAGGGTAAGCACTTACTGTGAGCTGTGCAAGGGCTGTGGACACGGCCCCTCACTCACTTCTTTGCGTACTTCTCTCTCCCCTTCCCCGACTCCTCTCTCTCTCTCTGCCATCGCCAGTTGATTGATTCCTCCCTCCACCCTCTCGTTTCTTAGTGTGCCTGGGTTGTCCCAGATTGCTGCCTCCAAGCTCAGTTGGATTCATTCAGTGCCTGGTTTGGAGTGGCATTCCATCTTTGTTATAATCGGGAGAGTCTCAAGGTGGGAGAAGAGGAGGAGGGAACATGACGCTGGAGGATTGGGATTGAGATATTGGAGGTGAGTTTTATTGCATTTCCACCTGCGTGGATTTTGGGTGTTTCCTGTGAATAGAGATTGTCAGCGAGGAGCTGAGGGGAGGAGTGAACTGAGTCTCTTGTGGGTTTGTGAGATGAAGAGTGCTGCATAGACTTTTTTTCTGGTTTTTTTTTTGGGGTAATTGTTTTTTTTTTTTTTTTTTTTTGGTTTTTTCTCGAGTGGTTTTGGAGCTGAAGGTGGTGTTAGATGTAGGTTCGGTCGTGCGAATGTCTATGAGAGCAGCTGACAGGATGTGTAGTGGGTTTCGGCCGCATGGGATGTGATGGATTGAGATAGGTGGTTGTACTTTCGACTTTTGTTTGTTTGTAGCGGTGGAGTTGAGAGTTGGTTTTGGATAGTGTCCTCTAGAGCACCTGCATTGGGTCTATTCGAGGGCTGGGAATACGATATCTTGACACTATTATTGCTGGAGTATATTTCTTCCAGCATTGACGCTTCTCCTTTGTGTGCGACTGTAGTTAGCGAATATGGGTCTCGTATGTGAGGGTAAAATGAGCACTGATTACTATGTGCATACTCGCCGTGCGTATATCTTTCATTTTTCTTCATGAAACCAGATGGTAATCAGGTAACATGTTTGATCATTGGCGATGGATTTGGTGTGTCAGTGTAAATCGGAAACAGTGTGCTTAATGGCAATGTGGTAGTTTTGAGTGTTTGAAGAGACCGATTCTAGCGTTTTCACCATGTCAAAGCTTCGCTTCCTTCAAGAGTCGAGATTCGACAGTTGCATTCTCATCATTGACTTGGCCTCTCGTCGAGTATTGACAGCAGGTGAGACGCAGAGGCGAGCATTTGGTGGTGGTTTGCATTGATGCTGTTAACGATCTCACGTCTTTTAACCACCACCAGCTGAGACGGCGTATGTGTTAGGGATCTCGACACATTGCATCTGTGTCAGATGTTAATCCAGTGCTGTCGATTCTGACACGCATTTTTCATCCATCTGGATGTGGACGAGTTCACTGGCCTTGGATCCACCTCCTCTGACGTCGCCGTCAGTGTGCATCATCAACCTAGCACTACTGTTTCTGTTCTGCGGCACCTGATCTGCTCGGGCTCACTGATGGCGGTGTTGCAGTAGTCAAGCACGAAGCACACTGTTTCCGATTTCGAGTGCCAGCAACGACTACGAGGGATTCAGTGCGCGGAAATGTGCAGTGCTGCTTGGCCCTTAATGGTGAGCCCCACGTTGTTATATTTTTTTTCCGGTAATTGTTGAAATTCTTTGCGGCTCTACTTGTGTCGCTCCTGGTCCACTCAAGCTGGCTGGATCCGTATTGTATTATCTCGTGCAGAATCCTGATTTCGAGCCGGCAATTGCAATGTTTGTCTCTCCTACTTGGGGTCGTTTGCATCTTAGACATCCGTTTACATTATTATCGTGTGGACGCTTCCTTGCAATTTGTTTCCGTTTGTGGAATCAAACAGATTTTTGAGCGAGTGCCGATTGCAGTCAAACAACTGTGGTCATCAATTCCCTCTTCTAGGATGAGACTCTTGTTCCTCAGACTTGACCTGAAATAGGGGTAAAAGTAGCAAGAATGGGTGTTTATGGAGGTTTTTCCTCGGGAAGGTAACCCGTGCCACATCCAACTAATCTCCTATCGAAGTGTAAGAAATTTTACGTGGAGACTAGATTAAATGGAAGCAATGTTTATTTGCCTCCTTTTTCCTTAACTTTGGTGTGCACTTATTCCACAATAATAATGGTCTCGAATGAGATAGTCATGCTGTCACCTATTTTGTGAATGTACTCCATCTCAAGTCGTGATTGCTTTGTGCACAGATTCGCGAGATTGCCATTGTCGTCCAGAATTCAGGGATGTTATATATGTTTCGTCAGGAAATGATATAGAGCTGGCTGCAGTCGTCGATTCACAGTTCTCTTAAACTTGTCCCAAATCCACAAGTTCCGGAAGGGGTCAGCACTCCTGGTACTACGAATCAATGGCTCCTCGGTTTGATTTTGGAGATTGGTGGTCCAAGGAGGAGCACGAAGGAACACCCGTTGTAGTTAAAATGGAAAATCCCAATTGGGATATGTTAGAACTGAACGGCCCTCCCCAGTCAGGTGGCGAAATTGGCAAAGGGAGGAACAAGAACGCGAAACAGTTGACGTGGGTGTTGCTATTGAAGGCACATCGAGCAGCTGGATGCGTGGCATATCTGGCCACAGGACTGTGGACGCTGTTGTCTGCTATTCAGAATCGTATAATTGCCCCGAAAGCATCTGGCGTGAAACTTGACAAACCTGTGAAGGGAAAACTCTACAGGTTCATCAGGGCTTTCTTGGTCACTGCGCTTGTGATGTTGGGCATTGATTACGGCGCTCACATGCTTGGATGGCATTTTACCCCCCCAGCTGGTGTCAATCTGATAAACCTGCCGCATGCTATTTACATGGGATGGATGGTCATCCGACTGCAGTACATTGGTCCAGCTCTGCAACTTGCCGCCGACAGCTGCATAGTTCTTTTTCTGATCCAGTCGGCAGACAGAATAACGCAGTTTATGGGGTTCATGTACGTGAAATTTAGGGGGATTAAACCCATTCCGGCGAATCCATCGTTTGAGTCTGATGACCCCGAGATGCCTGACAAAGGCTACCCCATGGTCTTGATTCAAATACCCATGTGCAATGAACGAGAGGTGCTTAATTTGTTCGACCGATACCTTTACAATGTCTCATTCGTTTACATTTGTGGAAGCGCCTCACTGCATTTTGGAGTTACTAATGAATTTTCGGAGCATTTTTTATGCTTCAGTGAAAAGTTGAAGTTAGGTCATCTTTCTTTCTTTCTTTCTTCCCCACTTCATTATACAGAGGGACGAAGGCGGTGTATTTTGGGCGGACATAGAATTTGATGTCGTGACGATTGTTGATGGCGACAGGTGTACGAGCAGTCAATTTCTGCTGTTTGTCAAATAGACTGGCCGAGAACTCGCATGCTGGTGCAGGTTCTTGACGACTCGGATGACGTGGAGACACAGGAGCTGATCGCAGCCGAGGTTCACAAATGGCAACTGAAGGGCGTGAACATTGTCTACAGGCATCGGGAAAACCGCACAGGATATAAGGCTGGTAACTTGAGGTCAGCTATGGAGTGTGACTATGTGAGAGACTATGAATTTGTGGCGATATTTGATGCCGATTTCCAACCGAAAGCTGACTTCCTCAAGCGTTCTATGCCACACTTCAAGGTATCATTCGTCGTCGCTTTGAATAAGATGAGTTCTCGTTTTAATTTTATGTTACTGCTGACCAGATATTGAAGGAAAACCTAGCTTACGGTTGGGTGCGGTGGCATTGATTCTGATCACAGGACCAGCCGAAGCTGTGTCTTGTGCAAACACGATGGGCTTTTGTAAACAAGGACGAGAACTTGCTCACGAGGCTACAGAACATCAATTTGTGCTTCCACTTTGAGGTGGAACAGCAAGTGAACGGACACTTTTTGAATTTCTTCGGGTTCAACGGCACAGCTGGCGTTTGGCGAATCAGTGCATTGGAAGATTGTGGCGGATGGATGGATCGCACAACTGTGGAGGATATGGATATTGCAGTTCGCGCACATCTCTGTGGTTGGAAGTTCATCTTCCTGAACGATGTTCGAGTAATGCTTCGCTCTAGCACCCTTCTCTTACGTTGATTTGTTATATTACTAAAGGCATCTGGAATTGACGTTGTTGCGAGTGTATGGCCGTAATGACTCTACATTCCCATTGCATTTCTGATCCGATCGTGTATGGATTGTAGTGTCTGTGTGAGCTTCCGGAATCTTACGAGGCTTACAGGAAGCAACAGCACCGGTGGCACTCGGGTCCTATGCAACTATTCCGCCTGTGTCTTCCAGATATCATTAAGTCCAAGGTGATTTTCTGTAGCACATCGATCCTTCTGATCTGTTGCGTGGTTTTAGTTGGGTGATTACTCTGCAAGGTCTGCCGAGTACGGTCTTTGAATTGGTCTTCTTACGCTCGTGTTCGGTTTGGATTTGCAGAAGGTGACGGGTCTACAGAAGTCAAATCTGATATTCCTGTTCTTCTTGCTGAGGAAATTGATTCTGCCATTTTACTCCTTTACGCTGTTCTGCGTGATTTTACCGTTGACGATGTTTGTACCGGAAGCCCAGCTGCCAGTGTGGGTTGTTTGCTACATTCCAGCGGTGATGTCTTTTATGAATATTCTGCCGTCACCAAAGTCTTTCCCATTTTTGATACCGTATCTACTCTTTGAGAACACCATGTCGGTGACGAAGTTTCAAGCCATGATATCCGGGCTGTTGCAGTTGAGCAGTTCGCTGGAGTGGGTGGTGACAAAGAAGTCCGGTCGGACGTCAGAAGCAGACCTGCTGGCTGGCGTTGAAGATTCTAAACCTCAAGACCAGCTGCAGAAGCTGAATCGTGTCACTTCGGAATCTGGTCTTGAGGCGTTAAAAAAAGTGCAAAAGGACAGCGCTGTAGTTGTTCCAAACGCTGCTCCTTCTCTGAAGAAAAAGAAAAAGAATCGTCTGTACTGGAACGAGCTTGCACTAGCATGCTTGCTCCTCACAGCTGCGATGAGGAGTTTGCTGACAGAGCACGGGCTCCACTTCTACTTTTTGCTTTTCCAGGGTGTCTCATTTCTCGTAGTCGGGCTCGACCTGATCGGGGAGCAAGTGAGCTGAATTGTGTAAATCATTGAGTGGGTGGTCCTTGTTAAAATCTCGTGTGTCTGCCCCAAATCATGGGTTGCTTCCGTATTAAAACGTCCCAGGAGGCGCAAGCAACCCTGAATTTGGTGCAGCCACATTGGAAGGATGAGCGATTCGATTGTGCAATTGCAGGTGCAGTTGCATTTGATGCTCCAGAGCGGTTCTGAAGTGTCAAGTTTTTGTGCACATTAGGTAGACATTGGTAGGAGCTTGAGGTGTTCATTGCGCGGCCTGCTGGAGGCAAAGGGAGACAAGCCAATAGGGTATGCCAGCCCATGCTGGGTACGCTCGTCGCGGCCAAGCCTGCACCCTATTAGTAGTTGTTTCAACGTCAGACCATTCTTTTGAGCCAATACATTTATTCAGATGCCTTTACGACAGGCGCTAGCATTAGTCAATATTAACTACGGATTGCGCTTTGGGCTTATGTGAATAAACCATCAGTCGTTGGTGTCAGAACTAAACACCAGTAATGTATGCTTCTACATTCAGCGGTGCTGCAACTCGTCAACATTTCGAGCTGCTCCACCCAAGAAATAAACATGACGATTCAATCTCACCATGCTCTGTCGTTCTCCTTCGCTTGTTGTGCTTCGGTTATTATTTTACGTGCAATTTTCATAGTCTCATAGCAATAATATCCGCAGTTTTTTCAGACTCTTGTGAGTATGACAATTATTGCAATTATTGACTGGTTATGAGATATTGATAAACTGTGGATAGGATTTATGGAGGAAACCTCAAAATGTTGGAGACTACGTGCTACTTGACCGTAGAGGAAGCATCCTCTGATAGGCAAACATCTGCGCACCATGTGTGTATGTTGTATGCACTGAAGAGTGGGTGCTTTTGCCCTGTAGTTACCATCTCTACAAATCTACACTGCACATCGCACCAGTCAATTTGGCTAGCAATTTGATGCTGATGGTCTCAATTTATATTCGACTGCAGCGAATGAATCGCAGCACCAAGGTATAGTGATAACAATGTGCGAAGTGACGCAGTCCGAGAATATCCTGTGAAACTCGAATTACGCGACAGCTTTTGCAACGTCAAGGTTCCACTTTGAATTATTGTTCAAAAGCGGGGTGCACGGACCACATATCTGCGCTCTTTGCAGGCCTGAGTAAAAAAAAGCACCTCGGGTTTTGATCGACGCGTTTCCCACCAAGAAACGCAGCTCTTTGCCACGATTGTAAGTTCCTTTCAACTGAAGAATTGCACCACATTCAAGAAGATCATATTCCCCTTCATTAATCGCAGACACCAGCCTGCGAAGCAATCGACCTCATTCCAACTTTGCATGGCACTCTGAAACTGGGTCCATGTCTTTACAAGCTTCTGCACAAAACCCATTTCTCTCTGCACCGCTCATCATCACCAAACATCATCTTCTCGGCATTCTCTTCGCATTCATAACTCACACCTGGCGCGGTGATCTTCAAGTCGACCACAATTTTCTACATCATGATGCCACTTGATCGACAACCTTCTGCTTTTCTGTAGAATTGGACATCTGGCATGCAAGCTATCCAAATATAATTTTAGTTGTAAGTGTTAAACTGTAGAAATCAACACTGCGTCTCTTTTCAAGCCCCAATCTTTCCGCTATCACAACGTGATTCGGCTCCCTCTGTTTTACTGTTGAGAGGTTGTTTCCTTTGGGAAACGCCGTCTCACCTCCTTTAGTTCGGTGACTTTGCTTGTGATTGGAGTCATCAAAGTTGGTCTCTGGCATTCTCAACTATCAACATTCTACGGATTTCGGCCAGAGATGCATAAAAATCACACATTTATTGTTGGGATGTACCTTTGTTTGTGATTGTAGTCGTCCATAATTGGAGTCATCAAAGTTGGTTTCTTTAGTTGTGGCATCTTTTTGTTCAAAAGATGAATACTGTACAGACTTAGACCATAGATGATTAATAGCCCACATTTATTGTTTGGATTAGGTGTTTGTTATCCAAACGACAAAAAAGTCTTTAGATCTAGACTAAAGATGAACAAACGCCCACACATATCATTGAGATTTATTATCAGTATTATTGTTTCTAGAGGTATTGTCCACATCAAGACCTTTTGGCGATTTTTCATTATTTTGAAGTTTTTATACTTGGCACAAGCATTTAAATTGCAAATTAAAATATGGGTTGATTGTGGTTTGCTGCAGAATTGAAATTTTGAAGAAAGTAGGTTTTGTTGTATTGATTATTTTTCCTTCATTTGTTTTTGTTTTTGTGTTTTGTTTTTTTTTATCATAATTTAACAATTAATTGTGAACAATTATTAATTTGAAAATCAGTCTCGTTGATTCCACACTCTTTGAAAAGGATATGATGCAGTATCAAATTTCAGCTATTGACAAAGTACATATATGTATATGTTTGCACCCAATTTAGTAGTATATATTTAGTTGAAAATATTTGACTCTATGATGGAAGGTTAAAAATATGTATCACAACGTTGAATTTCATAAGGGATATAAGATTAAGAGTATATATATAATACAGAGTCCATGTTTGATTTTTTTACAATAAATAAATAAATAAATAAATAATTTTATTTATGATTTAAATCTGAAAAATAAATAAATAAATGAATATAAGTATAATTCTGTTGCATGAGTGATAATATATATATATATATATATATATATATGTATGTATGTATTTACGCACACACAAAATAGGATGTCCAAAACTAATTTCTCCACGACAAAAAGAAATTAAACTTTGTTGGTGTGTTACTGCAAAACAACTAAAGACTGAAGATTGTTAAATAGAATACTAGTATTACTATTATTTGTTAAACTGCTCTAGATGTCTGTAAGTTAGAGCCTTTATCGTGAGCATTTTTCAATAAAAAAAAAAATTATTTGTGAAAAGCTATGCTCTTATCCCATAGACACTCCATTCACACTCACTTTAATTTAATCAAACCACACAAAATTCAAGACTGCGCCCACAGTAAAGAGAGAGTATGACTCGGTCGAACATTCCAGACTGGACGGGAAGGGATCCGAAACCCGTCCAGAAGACCCGATCCATGTGAACCCCCTTTTTGTCTTTGTCATTGTGAAGACACTAATTCTCAAAAGGATGTTCGCAAAAAGACAAAAGGATGTCTCAGAGAGGGCCGGGCCGGGTTCCCCCCCGGCACCCACCACCACGCAACCCGACCCGACCCGTTCGACGTGTCCCAAGGTTCATGCACGCAGGGCATGGTTGTGCATGAAATCGGTTCTCTTTGTTTCGGGACGCGGGCCACCTACAAATAAATTAAGACCCTGCCTAGTCGGGCAGGTCTGGAAAACTGCTTCAAATTGCCGTGGAGTGCTGGGCGGACAGGTAGCAACCTTGAGGGGCCACCACGTCGCACCTTGCCCCAATTCGTGCACGGCTTCATTTATTCAATATATGTTTGTGTACCTCTAGAAATAAATATTAAATAGTAATTAATTAATAAATAATCATTAAATTATAAAAATATTTTAATACATATATATTGATATTAATAAATTAATCATAGAGTGCGTTTGCACATCATAAATTTAAACCATTTTATTAAATTTTGTTGTTTGTATGTATGTATGTATGTATGTATGTATGTATGGTTGCTCCTTGTTCAAAATAATCTCCATGTTGTTGTTGTTATTTATTTACTTATTTATTTTCTTCCTCCTCTTGTTTGTATACTCTGATCAATGTAAAAATATGAAAAATATCATATTTTATAAAATTGAAGTGTTATATTAAGTATCTAGTCCTTACTTCGTGCAATTTTTGAGACACACAAACATAACATATACCACAATGTTACTGCATATTAATGAAGGCACTTTGTATATATTCAACACATGTCTGCATATATTTGTACATGTTTGATTGGTTCAAATTTACAACAGAAATCATACATATTGTAAATTTAATATTTGATACACTATTGTAAAGAAAAAGTGTATGTCAAATCTATTTTGATAATTACTGAACTTCGTATTGTATATTCTGAATATTAAATGGAATTATTCTGATCTCAATTTTTTATTATGAACCATGCTTTCTGCTGTGGGTTCATGTCAGACAAAAAAGTTGTTGCTTTTTCAATATATGACATTGTAAATTTAAACGCATCTACATTTCTTGTAATAATAATAATAATAATAATAATACAAATTACAACATGTGGTTTTCTTTCTGATTTTAATTATTTCTGAAAATTTTAACATGAATTAAAAGATACATATGCTTTTTCACATCATAAAAATAGTCACGACATTGGTTCAGGTCAATCAGTACCTTAGAAGAAGCATACAAGGTCTGGGCCTCCTCCTCCTCGTCTCCGACTTGCACCGGCACGACGGAGAAGTGGTAACGTACGCACGGGATCGGAGGGCCTGCCCTGCTTACTCAGCAACTTATTTTGGTACTCAGCGAGCGCAGTGAGATTTCCGTGCGAACACGACATCGAGGAAAATCTTTGTTGATTTCGGTGGGAGCGAGCGTCAAACGGGAGAGAGAGAGAGAGAGAGAGAGAGAGAGCTCTAGTGTAATGTTTAGCGCGTGACTTAATTTTCTTAGTGGCAAGTTGCGCATGAAGGGTTAGAAGAAAGTTTGTTGAGTTTGTGCAGAGTTTCCGGGTTCTTCATGGAGTTACCGGGGTTTAGATTAGGAGCTTAGGAGCATGCATGTCGCCGAGAGCTGGGGATCGCAGCGAAGAAATCCGTGGACATGGAAATATTTTGTCGAATTGTGACAACGTAATCGGTAACTGCGCTCTTGGGGAGGAACAGGAGGAAGTGGAGGCTAGAATTGAGCGGTTAGCCCGGATTTTTATTTTTTTATTTTTATGTAATGTGGATTTTAGTTCGTCAGGTGGTGGAATTCAGGTTGCGCTGTGGTGGTAGCGGTCTATGCTGAATATTCCTTGAATGATTAGTTCCTGAGGTTTTCGCCTAAATTCTAGTTTTAGGTAACTTCGGCTGTGATTGCTGTTCACTGTTGAACGATATGAGTATAAAAATCAAAGATGTATGCGGTCGGCGCATGCATTAGGCTATTTGCTGAAATAGAAATACTCGAAGAAGAACAATAAGTGTTGGGATTCTATCAACTGGCTGCCGAATTGTGCGCATTTTCACGTCAGGCAGAGTTATGCGCCAGGAGCAATGGAGAACTTGCCACTTTCCTTGCATCGCTGACACTGAACTCTTTCCAACTTCGGAGTGCGAAATTAATACATGATCGGTAGTGAGAATAGTTCGGAAAGCCCGATCGTCAACTATTTTGTATACTGCACAGGAGCAGTTGTTAATCAGGAAATGATCAAGAACTTGGGATATGAAGAGGACGGTTAAACATGATGTCTTTCACCTCACAAGGACTGGTTGTAGCTTTTTTCTTTTACGCACTACTTTGTACGTGGCTGGTACGCTGCCTCGACGTAAACAGCTCAGATTACCAGCGGGCTTCTACAAATATCTCTTCCAGCTTTGCTTCTGATCCCGGCTTATGGGAAACAATTTATGATCCACGGCAATGTGAGCGCTCTCAGCCTAGATACAAGGCGCATTGTTATGAGGAACTGACGAACCAGTCACTTCTTTGTGAAGCCGACTTGAGTGGTGTTGGATCCTTAGACACTGTTTGCAAACTTACTACATCGGTCAAGCTGGGAGCAAATTCCGCTTTAGTAGGAAAGGGAACCCTAGAGATTTTTCAGAATGTGACTCTGTCTTGTGCACAGCCTGGATGTGAAATTCTTATTCTAATATCCAGCAATCTCATCTTAGGATCGAATTCTACCATTAGAGGCGGCACTGTAACAATCCAAGCCGCCAACTTGACCGTTGGTAATCATGCATCAATCGAAGCTTCATCTTTGGCAGGAAGCCCTCCAGCTCAAACAAGTGGGACGCCTCAGGACTTGGAAGGAGCAGGAGGTGGGCATGGAGGTCGAGGCGCAGCTTGTGAGCGCGATGAAAGCAAAGACCAGGTTAACACATGGGGAGGGGACACATACAACTGGGAAAAATTATCCAAGCCATGGGTCCATGGAAGCCGTGGTGGCACCACCGAAGTTAACGTATCTGATTTAGGTGGAGAGGGAGGCGGCCGCATTTCCATCATAGTGGATGATGTACTGAAGTTAGCTGGAACCATAGAAGCTAATGGAGGCTCTGTAGGAAATAGGGGTGGTGGAGGCTCTGGTGGAAGTGTCATGATCAAAGCGCAACGAATGTGAGTAACATTGGCTTTCAGTCTTGCTCAGAAGTGTTGCGAATGGTGTTTTTGACGTTTTCTCATGGAAAAAAATAATGCGAGAATCAGGCATTTACATTTTGATCGAGTCACTTAATTACTGGGGTGATTCTTCGGCACAGCCAGTCGTGTGTCAACTCTGTACATCAGTACCTCTTGAGAATGTTGGGGCTTTGACACCTCTTGTCGCGATTGAGATGCTCAAGATTAAAACTCCACAGAACTGGTTTTAATATTTTGCGGAGCGTGCTGGGAGAGGTTCATGTAGAGTTATGAAGAAGGTCCATCAAGTGGTGTAAGATGATTGGTTACACGATAGAGTTTCAATTTCTCACTGAATTGTGCTGGATGAAAATGTAGTGAAGGAGCTGGAGGAAAAATATCTGCTACTGGAGGGATAGGGAGAGGCGGCGGCGGAGGAGGTCGCATCGCCATCGATTATCAGCAAATGCAGGATGTTGACGTCTTCGTTAACGGTGTGCTTTACACCTTAATGTCTCCTTCTAAAGCTGCATTCGTAGTAGATTCAAATATTATTTTGATATTAATTCGGATATCTTGAGTTGATTGTGAAGACTTTTGCCTTTTGCCTCGTTGACTGAATAATATCATGATACGTGGTTTTCAAAGGTGTATATTTGTCGTCGAGGGTTCGAAGTCGTATCTTTGTGGTTGTAAGGTCATGGCCATGTTCTAACCTGAAGAATTAGTTGAAATTGAAGGATTTGTGTCACAATTTAGAATTTTTTGAGTAGGTCGGATTCTGGATTTACTAAATCTAGCTAATAGGACTTGTAGTTCATCGTAATGCGCAGAGTAAAGATGTATAACTATTTGGAATTGTTGTTGACTTTCAGGTGGTGATAGTCTAGGATGTCCACAAAATGCGGGGGCAGCGGGCACTCGATTCGATGTCTTGTCGAAATCATTGTATGTTTCAAATAATTACAAGCAATCCAAAACTGATACAGTATTTCTTACGTTCCCTCTTCGACCTCTTTGGGGTAACTTGGTCGTGGAGCAGTCTGCGAGGGTTGGAGTTCCTTTGCAATGGAGCAGAATTCAGGTAAGTTGCTCTTCAATTTCGCAACTCATCTTTGCAAGCAGTAGAGGAAGAAAAAACAAGACTGCGAAGACTTTCTGGATAATCTTTGCTAGCCCTAATCATTCTCTTCCCATTAAGTTAGCTAACTTGTGCATATTGATATTTAACATTTGCATGCTTGCTGAAAGATGCAGTTGCAGTAAACTTCATTGATCTGTCAGCGGTTCGAATTTTATAGAACTCTTTGAAGACCATGGCTTCATGAAAGTACCAACAATTTTCTCAAACTGGCAAATGTAGGTATTGGGAACTGTGAATCTGTCGTCAGGAAGCTGCCTCAACTTTGGAAATGCAAAAATCCCTACTTCACAAAGCGAGCTGTATGCAGATGATTACACAATGGAAAACTCTACTCTCACGGTTAGATTCTCTCACTAATATTTTGGGTGCCCATGTATACTCCTTTTGAATCAGCTGCTGAGTTCAAAGTGATGAATTTCTTAAGAATCGTAATCCATTTATGCTGGAGGCAGGTAAATGGAGCATTGTGGCTGGTCTCCAAAATGTTTACGTTGAAGCAATCCAAAATTGATATAGTAGCTGGTTCTGATGACTGGATGGTAGGCACCTCTACTGTGGAGGCGAGCAACATCGCATATGTAGGGGTGAGCATATATTCTCTGCGTATTCACGAGAGACGGAGTAGGACTGTTATTTTCCAATTGTTTTTCTCCCGTGCATTTTTGGATAAATCCGTCATATTCATGATTATATTATAAACATCTTCATCCACGTGATTTAATCGTTCTTCTTGAATGATTCGTGTTGAGTTTGTTCATCAGGGTGGGTCAGAAATCAGGTCGAATGCGAACTTAGGAGTCCACGGCCAAGGCAGATTGCAATTGCAGGGTTATGGAGACTCTATAAAAGCGCAACGTCTCTTTCTCTCGTTGTTTTATAACATTACCGTAAGTGTCTACATCGCTGGTGTCTATATTTTGAATAAATGGGAACACTTTTCTTCTTTAGCGATGTGCTCAATGTGCTCATGAATTTCGAAAATGATGTCTAGATTCGTTTCAGCTTTCATTTAATCTGCTTTCATCTCATATCTGGGGATGAATTGTGTGAGCCTCATAGCTTCCAAACATCCCTAGGTCTCATTTCTCCGTTGGGGTCCAGTGTAGTATGTTGACGTTACCTGTTTGCAGATTGGTCCCAAGGCAGTCTTGCAGGCACCATTAAAATCATCGTCATCTATCAAATCTGAGTAAGTTTTATTTAGATCTCTATCTGATGTAATTCTTGCATTTCACATACCACTTTGTAGTCTGATAGTATGGATGACGATAGCTACTTTTTTACCGTACGTGTATGGTACTAGAGGACAATGTTCACATAATTTATACGAAATATGTACTTCGATGAAGGATTTTATTACAAGGAGAAGGAATCCTTCATCTAGGTATATATGTAACTAGATGAAGGATTTGATTACAGGGAGAAGGAGTACGTGTCAATGGGTCAAAACTCAGTACAGGGGATAAGAGTAGCTTTAACAATAGATCTTCATGGTTTTCCAGAATTACCGCTATGTACTGTGAGAATAATTTTTGTCCCATGGAGGTGCTGAGACCGTCTGAGGATTGCAACGTGAATACCTCATCACCGTTTACCCTTCAGGTTCGTACTCCTAAGATTTTACTTCTCCCTTATAAGTATTACATGTGAATGAAATTAAATGGAACGTTCCAGGTTATGTCGCATCCAAAGGTAACCAGATGTTGGTAATAATCCATCCAAACTTTCCTGCGCTTAAACGTGCAAATAACCTCCACTCTGATATAGAAAAATCGTAGAGCAGGAAATAGTCGGCGACATTTTTGTATCAGTCTCATGTTGCTCGATGGTCTCCATTCATAAGGATTAAGTGAACATGTATTGTTAGTTTCAGCAGTATTTTTGAATCTGTCGAAGCGCTATAATCAATATATAACATCCTGCACTTAATTTATTTTATTTATGTGAAACTCAAGAAGCATTTATCTCGTTTGTTGTTGAATGAAGCGATCATGAAATTTTCTCGTGTTGGTCGTAATGTCTTAGGATTAATCTTTCAGAGGCATACTCATGCTGAATATTCTATGCTTAAGCATTCTGAGGGACGTTTTGATCACCGAAACAGATTTGTCGGGTAGAAGATGTAAATATTTTCGGGGAAGTATCTGGGAGTATTGTGCACATACAGCGTGCTCGCACAGTGACCATTAGTCCTGAGGGTGTCGTATCTGCTACTGCTCTGGGTGAGTTCTCTAAGTTTTCCAGTAGAAAACCGCAATGAAAGTGGGAATCTTTGTTTGGTATGCAAGTGATTATTTTCTTACATATTCGCGCTTTTCAACTTTTTGTCAATTTGGAAAGCTAAATCGATTATTATTAAGGGACACATCTTCTTCATTCCAACGTTTCCTCATGCATGAATTGAGGTGAATCGCTCCATTGATCTCGTCGCTGCTTTTAAACCGCACGTACACTACGTTTCTCTGATCATCTTCATTTTTTTACAGGTTGCCATGAAGGCTTGGGAAAAGGGAAGAGTGGAAAAGGGAGAAGCGGGAAAGCGGGGACTGGGGGAGGTGGAGGGCACGGGGGCAAAGGTGGCGACGGTGTTTTGGGTGATTCTAGGTTCGACGGAGGTATAACATATGGTAGCAGTGAATTGCCTTGTGAGCTCGGTAGTGGGGGTGGCAATCCTGGCCTTGGAAGTTCTACTGCTGGCGGTGGACTAATTGGTTAGTGTGTATTTTGACCTGATGTATTCACTTCATCTTGTTACTGCAGCTCCAATTTCGAGTTATTGACTAATCCATTCATAAGATTATGATTTATCCGTTTGTAAAGGCTAATTTTCTCCCGTGGTCAAGAATTGGTACAGTTGTGGGTTCTCTGGAGCACCCAATAACAACACTGGAGGTATTTGGAGCCCTCTCTGCGAATGGAGAGAGCTCAAGTGAAGTGGGGAGCACGACTGAAGCTGAGGTAGAAGGCTTAGGTGGAGGCTCTGGTGGAAGCCTTCTTCTCTTCGTAGCATCGATCCTTCTCGGTAATGGTTCACTTTTGTCTACTGGAGGTGGCAATGGTGGTTTAGGTGGTGGGGGTGGTGGGGGAGGTGGGCGAGTTCACTTTCATTGGTCCAAGATTCCTACCGGGAATGAATACATGCCCGTTGCTACTGGAGAAGGTCGCATTGTAACAAGGTACAGGTTATATTGTTCGACTTCCATTTGTGCTGTCATCTTTACAGAAGAAGGCTTTTGACAGAGTACTATAAAATGCTGAATTTGATAATGCTTCAAGGTCGTTTAGTTTCTGCTTGTTGAACTGATTCGACATTGCGGTTGCATTTTTTGTGTGTCCAGTGGAGGAATAAGTAGAGGTGCAGGATTTCATGGAGATCACGGCTCTATTACTGGGAAGGAGTGTCCGCAGGGTCTCTTTGGCATTTTTTGCGAGGTAGGTCTACGAGTCTCTGATTGATGTTGAAGAACCTTAGGATTGCTGAATAATAATAACTGATCTTCCTTAAATTCTTGGACTATAACTGAACTAATTTAGACATTAGTGTCTTTGAATGTGGAGTATTTCTTGACACATTCCTATCGTTTATATTGACCTGATCATATTATCGTTCTTGACATTTATCTTCGAGTTTCTTTTCTTTTCTTTTCTTCTTTGTTTCTTTTTATATCCTATAATATTATTTATAATGATAATGATTTCCAAACAAAACATTGGCATTCATTGTCGAACAGGAGTGTCCTGTCGGGACGTACAAGAATGATACAGGGACTTCAAAAGATCTCTGCAGACGGTGTCCTCCTGAGAAGCTCCCTCGTCGTGCCAATTACATTTATGTTCGTGGCAAGCTTCTATACCAGCTCACTTGATTTCATTCGTGACTTTCTCTGGACTGGAGTATCATTATGTGTAGAAAACTGCTCGTTGTTGGTTCCTTAATAGTCATGCATAGCTCCATGCACCTACTTGTGGATTAGATTAACGAATCTTAAGTGGCAGCTTCGCGCTTCCACCACTGAATGTGACCACACCGACGTTCTTTCCTAATTTTGTTTATGCTCGTTTGAACAACTTATTTTTGGATGCCATATCCTTCGCACATATTTGTAAATTGAAGTAGTTTTTTAGGCTAACTTGAAAATATGCTTTTGTTGTTCGACTTGCTGCAGGTGGTGCTTCTGAACCTACTTGCCCATATAAATGCACCTCTGATAAGTATCGGATGCCACACTGTTATACCGTGCTTGAGGACTTGATTCACAAGCTTGGAGGCCCCCATCTATTTTCCTTGTTGATGTTATGTGTAATGGTTACTTTGGCTTGTGTGCTAAGTGTAGCTCGCATGAAATTGGTTGGAAATGACGACTTCTCCATGCCTGCTGCTACTCCTCATGGGCCACAAATAGATCATTCTTTACCATTTTTGGAGTCTTTGAATGAGGTAATGCTCGGTTTTCCAATGCTAGCACATGGTCTTAGCATCTACTAGAATTCTATGACAATCTAGGTTCAAATTATCACAATATTCCAATCGAATATTTTCATTTGAAATTTGGAGATTAAAAAGAATGTACAATGGTATATGTCTGACCATAGAAATGAGGTGTAGAGGGGTGGTAGAGAAACATCCATAGTGACAAGATCCTCCTACGTCATTGTAAGCAATTCTGGGCTGATGCAGGTGCTTGAAACGAATCGTGATGAGGATTCAGAAAGTCATATACATCGAATGTACTTCATGGGATCAAACTCCTTTGGCGAGCCTTGGCATCTACCGCACTCTCCTCCAGATCAGATTGCTGGTTTTGTGTACGTACCTGCATACTTAGACCCGAAGATGAACTCCTGGAACCATGTATTTGCATTATTTTTGACTGGACTGTGCTGTTTGATTATTCTAATTTCTGGTAATTTTCTCCCCAAAGGTTAGAAGTGAAAGAGAATGAGCTAATGCCCGGTTATCTAATGCCTCATGCTCTCCTCTGCTGTAAATCAGTAACGTCTATTTTATGAAACTTCTTTTGTAACTCGTAGTTCTTTACTAGTCTTATGATCAACCTTCTTTTATGCAGATATGAGGATGCTTTTAACAGGTTTGTGGAGGACGTCAATAGCTTAGCAGCATATCAATGGTGGGAAGGGTCCGTGCATAGTATCCTGATAATGCTTGCCTACCCCTTTTCCTGGTCATGGCAGCAATGGCGAAGGCGGGAAAAGTTACATCGCCTGCAGGAATTTGTACGGTCGGAATATGATCATGCATGTTTACGTTCTTGTCGGTCCCGAGCTCTTTATGAGGGTCTAAAGGTAGCTGCTACCCCGGATTTAGTCCTGGGATACGTTGATGTGTTCCTCGGAGGAGATGAGAAGGGACCTGACTTACCACCTAAATTACGACAAAGGTTGCCAATGTCTATCATATTTGGGGGCGATGGAAGCTACTTATTTTATTACAGTCTTGATAGTGACAATCTTCTTACAAGCCTTCTTTCCCAGGTATCATCCCTCACTGAGTTCTCGATCATGATCCTCCATAAGTCCAATAACAAGATATTGATCATAGTTTATCGAGTTTGGGGCTCTGAAATATGTTGAAGAACACTAAAGTGGGGGAAGTGTATCATTTTCAACAGAAATTTTTTTTTAATTGAACACTTGTATGTACACATTACTGGATTATGTTTGGTCAAGTAGAGGTCGTGGAAATTGACGAACATCATGATAATTTACACCTCACAGTATTTATCAGACCTGAATGCTCTTGTATTGTATTTTGCTCTGTATTATTTCCAACTTTATTCTTCAGCGTGAAACTTGCACTAAATGGTTCTTGGTAAGAAGCAGGCTGTCCCGGCAACAATGTGGTACAGACTGGTTGCTGGAATAAATGCACAGCTTCGTACTGTTCGGCAGGGTTCACTACGCACCACCTTGTTGCCACTCATTACCTGGCTCGAAACCCACGCCAATCCATGGCTGTTCGAAAAAGGTTTGCGTGTCGACTTGGCCTGGTGTCAGGCTACCGCATCAGGATACTACCAATTAGGTGTAGTACTGAACGACGCAGACGAGGTCCCTGATAACTTCCAACCCTTAGACATGCTCACAGTGCCTCGCTCTCCTGGCAGGTATATTGTTCTCATCCTTTTAAAGTGGCCTCTTGTAGCTTTATCCTGTTTATTGTTCTTAAACTTTAGGAGTTGTTGACATGATAAACCCATTTCTAATGCAGTGCAAGCTCTGGGGGCTATAAAAAACCCGATGATGGGCAGCGGATTCGACGACGGCAGTCCTGGCATCTCAGTCCAAGCTACTCTTCTCTTGGTATATCTAGGCGACGAATTGGAGGAGCCACGCTGGATGTGATTTCAGTTAAAGCACTGGAGGATAGGCATTATAACTTTTTCCCTTTGTCTTGCCTTCTCAGGAACATCCGAGCTACTGGCCATCAGGTACTCACAAAATTATCGTGGAACCACAACTTTTTCTGCAGTTCTGTGTTTGCATACATGATATCTAATTTATTCCCCTTCTCTCTCGAGCAATTTTTGTCTAGCCAATATGTATACCAGCTCCGCAGATGTTTTAGGCCTTTAGGCTAAAAATGATTGTTGCTGATAGCTTTCCTTTCTCGTCTGTTATCTACTACTATTTAATAGATGTGTTTTGGTTGTGACCGCAGGAAGCTGTGGGATTGGTCGTATCGCTATTTCTTCTCGTTGATTTGACCTTATCTTTGCTCATGCTGCTGCAATTTTACTCCGTGGGTATAGAGGCAGTCTTAATTATTGTCCTAGTCCTGCCGTTGGCTGCACTTCTACCTACTGCTGCTGGCTTGAATGCTCTGTTCAGTTCTGAGGCACGAAAGTCAACTGGCCTTGCCCGAGTTTATGCACTGTGGAATGTTACTTCCATTGTAAATGTGGTAAGCTTGTCAGAGTATTTTCGTATGAAACCTAGTTTTTCGCAAATTTCTACGTCTGTTGCGGAAGCTCAGCTTGGTTGATACTTCTTTAGACTAGCGTGTTGTAATGCCTCTTTTGTTATTGATCATTCGCTGAAATCGCTTTAGTGCTTGTTAGTGAGAGGTCGGTTTTTAGAACTTGGCTCTTTGAGAGGTTCACAGGACAAGTAAATTCTTGGTCGGAGCTCAATTTTTGACTTGTTAGAGATGGTTTCAAATTTTATTTTTTCTCCTAATGGAGCCTGGTGGTTCCGGTTGGAGGGAGCCAATAATATTAATGAATTTGATTTGAAATTGGATGTTCTTTTTTATTTTTTTTATCCTTGCAGTTGGTGGCATTGGTGATAGGCTTCATCCACTACAGCTTGGAAGTAGGTCCTGGCTATAACAAAGCGCCAGCTGGACAATCCAACACGTATGCGCTTCATTCTCTGAATCCCCCCCCCCTTTTTTTTTCCAAATGAACTCCGCATTCACGAAAATGCACAATATATTTTTGAGAAATTCGCATATGAACTGAATGATGGTGGATTAATGTAAAGATATTTAGACTTGTTTCAGCGTTCGAACAAGTATTGCTTCTAAGACTTCGTTTGTGCAGGGAAGAAGGTAGCTGGTGGTTTTTACCCACTCTGCTGCTGCTGACAAAACATTTGCAAGCCCGTATGATTGACATGTATATTTCCAACCTTGAAATTCATGACCGCTCTCTGTATGCAAGTGACCCAATGAAATTTTGGGACCCGTAGAAGCGATCGCTTTACTCCAAATATTGTAGAAAGGTATCAGTTACTCTGCCACATCACAATTGGTAAGCTTTGCTGCACCATAGTCTCCAAATAACCTTTTAAACGCAGTGACATGTGAGAGTTGTTCATTCCTGTAAGATTATGAAATCTGGAGTTAGTGCAGTTGAAATTGCCACCCCATGGTTGAGTGGCTATTGAGACTCTAGAAAAATGCTCCGTCGAATTTTAAAAAGGTTACCTTTGACGTCATAATTAGGACAAATAGTTTGCTGCTTGCACATCCTACTGGTTTCACACTCTGTTGAAGTTGTGCTAGACCGTAGAATGGGCTTTTACATTCTTCGTAGGGATGAACTGGTCATAATGTAGATACGTGGCAGATGCAAAGTTGGATCCTCAAGGTGTTGTAGACCTTGGAAAATCAAGTCAATAATTACCTCATTGCTTTCAAACCGTATCACCATATTCAAGAGAGCCTGTGGTACCTGGTTGTAAATTATAGCAACTTCAGAGCATATTTCTCTAAGAGCTTGAATATGCATTTGCATAACAATTCTGAAGATTTAGTTTGATAAGTCTTCTTGTATTTTTGAATTTCCTGGTAGAATAGTTTTGGATTTTGGGTACCTATTCCAATCAAAAATTGGTGATACTAACCTCATTAGATAGAGATCTTTATCGTGCGCAGCCGGGGAATCGAACCCCGGTCAGTACCGTGGGAGGGTACTATGATACCACTACACCAGCTGCGCTTTTAAAGTAATTGATCCGTCACCTTGATCGGAACTCCATCGGTTCTCCATGTCACGGTGGCCTTCAACGCCTTCCTTGTAGATATGGCTAAAATTGTCCTCATCTAAAACAATTCAGTCGCAGCTTCCCATTCTCCCTCCCCGCGACGGGATCCACTCTACCGAATGCACAACCTCAGCAATGTTCTGAGGGCTTCTCCTTGATTTTCCACCCCTCCCCAACCTCACCAGTAGGCTCCCTCCAAAGCTGCTTTTATCTTCCAGGGCTGTGTTTCTTGCCATTGAAATCAACCCACAAGCCTCTCATGAAAGAAAATAACTAAACAGGTCAAGTAATCAAACTTGATGCTTAGAGCAACCGCAAAAACTAGCCACAATGTAAACAAAAGAATTAATATAGCTACTTACACTTTCAAGTGATTAAGAACATATTATCAGTATCAATAATAACCAAAAACGAAGTAAAATATTTTAAGAAACAGATTAATTCTTGCAAGACAGATGACGCATCCACGGTGTCAAGCACCAGACGTCAAGAGCCCCAACTCAAAAATGCAAATAAAACAACAATCGCAATCTACCTTTATGTGAAAAAGGACAAAGTGAGTGAGAAAGTAAAAGCGCAATGGCCTGCTCTCTCGCTCTGAGCCCTGGCTATGGCCTCCGAAGCCGCCAGCTCAGATCGTGGCTATGGCGAGGAGAGGTGCCCAAGCGAGGCTCGCCAACGCGAATTCGTGACCGACGCTGCCCAGGCGTGGAGAGATCGTAAGCCACGGGATTCGTAGCCAGGGGCGGCCTCCTCGGAACAATCAACTCTGGTGTGGCAGAGCTCGGGGCTTGTCTCTTGTGCATCATGCGCCTCGCGCTCGCACGCTGGCGACGGAGTTTCCTTGGCCTCCTCTGCTTTCCGCCCTGAAGTGCTGGGCACGTTTTTGTTTGCTGCTCTTTCTCTCCTTGTTCTTTATTGCTTCTGCCCTTGTTTGTTTGGTTGAGTGTGTTTTTTTGGCTACCCTCTCGCTTGGCGGGGCGCTCGATGCCCGACATTACAATGGGTTTCCGTCCACAGGGGGTTCGCAGTTGACTTTCTTTGATTTAGGAAAAGAGTGGCAGGAGCCTGAAATAGTGAATATGCAGTCGTGTGACATTTCACCATAGCTGAATAGGTGGCGAGGAGGAAGAGAGCACGACAAATCGGCAGATAGACAGAGCCACACACACATTGAGTGAGCTGAATATTGCACACAACGAAGCTCCGCTCATTGGGTTTCTGCTTGTACCGCGATCTCCTTCGTCGCTCTCTCTATCCCGTCGCTCAAACCCCTTTATGTGTTCAATTCTCAAGAGAGTCGCTTCCCTTAATCTCTCACAAAGCCCTGAACTAAAAACACAGAGCATGCAAGACACAAATACGTTTCAGTTTTCAGGGAGCGGATCCGCAGTGGTGTAGATGGGTATGAGAGAACAACAATAAAATGAATGAACAAATCAAAAGAGGCTTACGGCCTTACTACGAGATTGCTGATGCAGTCTTAAGTACATGTGCACAGAGATCTGAGTATTCGGCACAAATGTCGGATCTCAGATCATACAATCTTTCTTACTTTCTTACATACAGATCATACAATCTTCATCCAATGATGAAGTAGGGATGAATGTTCCAATACTCCCCCTTACTACGAAATCATCAGTTTTGACACTCACTAATAAACTACTTGTACTCTTTGACTCTAGTTTGTGAAGGAATTTGTTTTAGATGTCCAAGGTTCATCTCAAGGGTTTATTATGTGGAGGCAGTGGATAAGAGAGGAGAAAGTGACGATTTATTTTCTACTAAGTTGAATGTGCTAATTTATGCCTACAACTATGAGCTATGGAGAGAGAAGATGAGAAATATAGTAGTTTTGTTAGGATTGTGCTTCTCCTATAGGAATGATATTCAATTTTGATCTGAATTTCTCAAATAGACCATGCCCCAAGGGTTTGGTGAAGATGTCAGCTATTTGTTCAAGACATGGTACATAGATTAATTTAACCTCTTCCATTTTTATTTTTTTTCTTCTAAAATGATGATGTGTAATTATATGCTTTTTTTTTTGGATTGATATCTGAATTTGTTGCCATTTTGATACTCCTTCATTGTCACAATATATTAGAATTGGTTTTTTGATTTAAAGTGCAAAATCACATGCAAGTTTGTTCAAATATGTTGCTTCTTTAGATGTTGTGGATAGGCCCATACATTCTATATTTGAAGATGAGAGCGCAATAGTGGCTTGTTTCTTTGAAAGCTAGGTAATTGGACTGGCGCTTAATTAAAACACAAAAGCCATTGTTGATTGACCATCAATTAGGTCTCTTGTTCAATTTGTATCCACTTATCCTAATAGCATTGTTAGTCAATTTGTATGGTAGAATATTTTATAATCTTATATTCCTATAATATACCTTAAAATTCTTTTTGCTATTGTCAAATGTGGTATTTGTAGTTTCATCATGAAACAACTAAGAATCCCAATAGAGTATGAAAAATCAAGTCAAGAGTGATCTAATTATATAAGTTTGTCAACTATAGATTGATAATAATTTGGATCAATAATGTCTTTGTTTATACCAAGAGTGAGCTTTAGTCTTTCAACTACGGGAGTTGAAACGGATTGACATCTTTCAAGGCAAAAATGACGAATTACTTATAATGTATAATTTTGTTGTATCATAAAAAAATCCTTTTGACAATTTGATTATTTCAGCCATGAGATAGAGTGTCATATCATTTTCTCTTAGTTCTGCCATTTCAAATTTTGATTCAAGTTGTGATTTAAACCATGTGATCTATTTGATGCAATTTCTTGTGAAGAGAAGATCATCTACGTAGAGAATTAAAAGTAGTATTTTTTCTTAATGGTTAATAATATAAAGGTTGTAGTCACCTTCTCTTTTTGTAAATCATTGAGTTTGAAGAAAAGAATCAATTTTATCATATCATGCCTTTTGTGCTTGTCTTAGGCCATAAAGAGCTTTGTGTAGTTTGCATACTATGTGTTTGTGCCTTTCAACTACAAAGCCTTGAGGTTGTGTGATGTAGACTTCTTCTTTGAAATTACTATGGAGGAAAGTAGTCTTGACATCCATATAATATAGTTTCTATTTGTTTTGTGTAGATATTATAATGAGTATTCTTATGGTATCCTTTTTGACAACTAGAGCAAATGCTTCTTCATAGTCAATGCCTTCTTATTGTTCAAAACCACAAACAACTAGTCGTGATTTTTTCTTTTGAAGAGTGTCATTAATTTTTATTTTTGCTTTATATACTCACTTTATTGATATAGCTTGGTGTTCTAAAGGAATAGTAATTGACTATGTCTTATTATCATGAATAGATTTTATCTCATTAATCATTGTGTTTCTCCATCCTTCATCTTTAGTAGCTTTGTCATATGATTTTGGTTCAATGGAGAATTCTAAAAAATTGCAAAAATAATCTTGAAGCCAAGTTGGACATTTTGTGGTACAACAGTTTTGATTCAATGGTTCAGAAGATGTGAAGGAATAGAATTATTTTGATTGAGATGTATTAATGTCGTTTACTAAATATGAGGATATATCATTGATTACTTTAGAAGTTAGCCATTTATCTACTGTATTGAAATCAAGTGAATAAGGTGCAAAATTTGTTGCTAGTAGTGAATTTTTATTGAGAGATGTTCTTTTTGGATGATGATCTTCTAAAAAAGTATTTGTACTATAAAGAATCTAAGTTTCAATTTGAAGTGGTTCTTTAATATTAGAGTTTAAGTTGGGTAGAAAAAATTGTTGGTCTTCATATAAATTTTGAGCGTCAAGATGGATTTTGATGTTTCTATACCAATGGTCTATTGATGATGGTTCAAAGGTGCAAAAAACATTGTTATATGGTTTAGATTTTTGAATGAAAAAATTATCTTCGTCAAATGAAATATCAAGTATAATTTGAATATTTTTAAAATTTGGTAGATAGATTCTATAGCCTTTGGAAATATCGTCTAAGCTTAGATAAATACCTTGAGTGGATCGGACTTCTAGTTTGTCTTTGTGTTTAATCTCGATGAATAAAACAAACACAACTAAAAACCCTGGTCTTGTTGAGGTTCGAATACTGACTTGTGATTACTTTATAATAAGTCTTTCCATTAATGGAGCCAATAAGATTTGAGTTCATGAGTTGTACAGCTATCTAAGCTGCTTCAACCTAAAAAAAAGTGGAAACATGCCTACCAAAGAGCACAGTACAAATTCAATTCACAACAAAGTAGTTTTTTCTCTTGGAGACTCCATTTTGTTGGAGTATTTAGGTAATATTCAATTATCATAGGATTCCATGTACTTAGAGACATTGATCAAATTTTACAGAGGTGAATTTTCTACCACAATTAGATCACATATAGATGATGCAGTGTAAGGTTTGTTTTTTTGATCATGTTGTAAAATTGATGGAACATGCTCATAATTTGATTTTTTATTTTCATAAAATAAATTCAATAAGAAAATTATAGTTATTTGTAAGTAGTAAGAAATAACAATTTTGTCTAAGAAATTCTATAGGAAGAGGCCCACAAAACATCTATATGAATGAAAGTAAGCAGAAAAGATTTCCATGTAAGTGACTATTTTGATATATTGATTTTAGTTTGTTTTACATCATGACATATGAGACAATTGAAAGTAGAAACTAAAAACTTTGAAATGCATGTAACTAGATTTTAGAGTGCTTGTAGACTGCAAAAATTTAAATGAACTAGTCTTTTATGCCATAAGAGTGATTTGTTTTG